TATTTTCAAAAGGAAAACATTTTTAACCTCAAGATTTGAAGCTAAGGTATGATTTATTTCATGTTATCTACTTGTTTTTAAGTAGTGTGAAGTTAATAATAAATAATAGTAATGCTATGAGAAATGCTTTTGCATAACCATGTTATGGTCGGGACCTTCTGTATTAAGAAGGTAAGTTTAAGTTACCTTATCCTAAATATTATATTGGACTGAGAGTACAAATGATGATATTGACAAAATATTAATACTGGAATAGGATGCATTAATATTTCTGAAATATCCATGAAAATATTTCTGAAAATATTTCATAGGTGAGGTATGTTTAGGATAAATACTGATAGAGGCAAAAAGAAGAAGAGATGATGAACTGGCAAAGTGAAAGGAGACTTCTTATCCCATTGCATTCTTTCTCCTTATGGCTTTTCTAGAAGTATTTTGGGGCAAGAGTGTTATAGTTGAATAAAATATCATTTTCTTTCTCTGATTCTTCTTTAAATTCCCGAAGATCTCAAATAGACAAGCTTGCAGTCGGCATTGCTATTTCTCCTGCTCAGATTTGACTATTAGAAATGCTAAGAATTGGGGCTGGAGAGATGGCTCAGTGGTTAAAAACACTGGTTGTTCTTGCAGAAGGCCTGGGTTCGAATCCCAGCACCCACATGGCAGCTAACAACTGTGCGTAACTCCAATTCCAGGGGATCTGACAGCCTCTTCTGTCCTCCACAGGCACTGCACGACACGGGTGCACTTACCTACATGCAGGCAATATGCATACACATTAAATAAAAATAATAAATGAAGTATTTTTAAAAATGCTAAGAATTGTCTTGTGGTCACTATGTAAGTTCTATGACAGTTACATTAGGAAAACGGGCTGACAACCATTATTTGCTTCTACCTGGCAAATAGTGCTATTTCTGTAAAATTAATAATATATCAAGCAACTCAAAATTATAAGCAAAGCACTTTGCTATACACCTCTATTTTTAGGGCAATACACTAACTCGAAATTTGGAAACTAATTTTTCTTGGAGATGGATTTCTCCTCCATTTCATAAGAAAATCTTTCTTTTACTGAGACAGTTTATATGAATAGGTAATCAAGAAAATGAAGTCACAGGAACTTGACTTAAGAACCTTAATTATGATACTGCAATGATTCTTTTTGGTGAACACAATGAGAGTAACCATTCTTGAAATACAGAAGAAAAAAAATACACGGTACAAATGCATGTAAATGTTCTTATGTAATGCACAGAAACTATTTAACCAAAGAGGAAGTTAGATTTACTCTTGAGTTTTGTAGGGTTTATGAGGGTTCTGTGGTAGATTATTCAAAAAAGACATATGCATTCTGCTGGAAATATACTATGTTCAATGTTATTAGCTTTTAAAATAAGAGTCATTAAGATTATTCTTCAAAGAACTGTCTGCCTTTCTAAATTCGTTATTTCATATGAAGTTACTGCATATATAAACATAACAAGTGGAGAGTCTTTAATTAGAATTATTTTATTTCTCAAGCTGTAGGCTAATGGTCATCATATTTATGATACATTTTGTACCTCTCAAATACATTTTAAACAGTATATTTAAAAATACATAAGTTAAGAAGATTCTCAATGCTCTAGGAAAGTAACTAATTACAAATTTTAGTTCTAAAGGAAATTTACCTTCTACATTGTATTTTAAAGAGCAAGAGGTTTTAAAAGGTTGTAATGAACAGATATATTTTTACAATTAACATTTATTTGAACTATAACCATTAAACAAATATTGAATGTCATCATAATATCACTAGTCAAGGAACTATTAGCAGCTGATTACTTCAGGGTGAGGGGGAGTTGATCTTCTTTAAGAGAGTGACTCTAGATAGGCTGACTAGACTCCAGCAGATGAACTTGCACCAAGGGACATCTGGGTACAAATGCTTGATGGGATAGGCCTTAATATATATGACAAAAAGCATGAAATTTGGTGGGGGGTTATATGGGGGAGTGTGTATGGGGGAGGGATCTAAATCTGATTAAGATTTATTGTATGAAACACACAAAAGCTCAATAAACATATACATTACAAAATCTTGACTGAATTCAAGTGATAATAGTGATGACAGAAACCAAAACTGGTTGCAAGCTTACTTATCATGTACAATTTATTCTCAAAAATTCTTCACAAGGCTACTATTATTTTTAAATAAACTTAGTAAAAAATTTAAAAATAAAACTTAATAATGAATAACCCATATTATAACAAGTCAATTAAATAAAGGGACTATAGTTCTTACATAGCCTTCAAAGTACTTTTAAAAAGAGCCCTACTGAATTGTCAGCCTTCTCTAAAGTGGCTACTAGGAATACACCAGCACTTGCTTGATTTTATTTCTGCTCAGAAGTCCTTTTTAAAGTCTTAAAATCTTGCATGACTGAGCCTCTACCTCATGTGCCATTCCAGCTACATTTCCTTTCTCTCTGAGCCAAACATCTTGATACTTGTGGTCTGCATCTCTTCTAGTTTCCCCCAGCAACCTTCTTATTACTAAATCTAATGGATACTGCTCTGTCTTCATCACATTTGACTTCTCAGGAGTATTCCACTCACATGCATCCAGTCTTTGCATCTCATCTTTTAACGTGTAGGGTTCCTCAAGGATTGGTCGATGGTTATGTATATTATACTACAGTGTTTCTCTGGGCAATTTCAACACACACATAGCATTAATTACTAATCTTGTACAGATGAATCCCAAATACATATGTCTATTCAGACCTCTTCCCTGATCGTCATTAAAAATAATTCAAGCATCAAAAGTTAATTCATTAAGGGTTGGGGATAGGTCAGAGGTAAAGCATTGGCCCAGGATGCCTAGGGCCTGGGTCCAATGCTTACCCCTGAGGGAAAGGGGAACATTAAAAAGTAGTATGCAAAAGTTTGTCAAATTGTTGAGGACTTATTTTAAAGTTTGGTTTTTCCTTAATGAAAAAAAATGTCTGGAATTGTTCTTGTGTAAATAAGGGCAAGCAAACACTGGCCAAACAGTTTATTATTTGAAACACTGATTTTTAGCGAGTTACCGTCCTGTGAACTGAAATGAGACAAATCCAACTGCCACATCTTTTACATATTAGATGTATATCTAATACATTACACCAAAATTTAAATACTGCTAATTTTTTCTTCTCAAACCTTGTTCTTACAGACAACTATCCAGTTAATCTTGCTTAAACTCCTTCATAGTACTTAATCTTTCACTGCCATCTTTGGAGAGTTTGAAAGCCTGAAATGCCACTAACAAAGTTGTGACTCAAAAGAGAATACCCACAGATATGAGAAAAGAATACAGAACTAGTGTTCCCTTTTCCTACCACCTACAGCTGTGGATTTTCATTAGAGACACTTCATGGAAAAGAACAGATTATAACAGATTATAACAGATTATAAAAAAAAACAGACACAGCAATCTGTGCTGACTCTTATTAAGAATATGCAAAATGCCAAAAGGTCTGAAAGCTACTGCTCTCATAAAGAGAAGTGAGGAAGAACTAGCCCATCATTACACAACAGGAGCTATCAAAAATGCAGAAGAGATAGGTCAGAATTCTTGACCAAGTCTAAGTTACTCTATTCATTTGGACACAAGAACTAACAGGTACTTTTTTTTTTTTTTTTTTTTTTTTGTATAGTGTTTCCTACCTGGAACTCACTATGGAGACCAGGCTGGCCTCAATATCACAGAGATTCTCCTGCTTCCGCCAAGTGTTGGGATTAAAGGTTGGCACCATCACTCCCAGTGTATAATAGGTACTCTTAATTTCAAAATCCAAGTAACGAAACAGACATACTTGTTTTTCTAATAAGTATTCAAGATATATAAAAAAGAACTATTAGCCAGAATATTAGTTTCTTATGATGAATAAAGATTTTTTTTAAGTTTGATTTATGAGGAAGAGGGAGCAATTAAAAAATCTGCAAAAAGAGATATAAAAAGGGTTTATAAGAGTATCAGTCTGGAAGCACTGCATATCACATACATTGCATTTTGACATATGACATTACTTTTTTAAGGCATTCTAAAATATTTATACTGCTTCATACTTTTACAAAGTAGAGATTTTTCTCCTCAAACTTCATTTTTACTGCCATCCATCCACTTAATCTTGCCAGAAACCCTGAGTATTTAGTACTCTTATTATTAATTTTGGAGGCTTTTGAAAATTATTATGATACCAAAGATAAATTATGAAAGCAATTTAACATTTTTACTTACCTTTGGGCTCATCTGTTGTAACAGCCAAAATAAAATCATATGGAGTCATAAATAACTGCCCTTCACATTCTATAGAAGCAAATAAACGAAAACGTCTTTCTCGAGACGTAGCACAGAGGTCCAAATCTTCACTATCTGTTCTGCCAATAGCAACCTAAGGTTAAGAAGGCAGGAAAATTTTATCTGTGAGAAACAATGCCACCTTTAAGAAATATTTTCAAATCTAATAAAAGTGAATTACCCAAGTAAATATAGAAGTGTGAAAACATTCTGCCTTCTGCAGAACATAAATAATTTCAAAAAGAAAATATTCACATTAATAAACTGAATTTTTAATGTTTGAAAGATCTTACTCTAAATGATATTAAATTATCAAAGAATTTTAAACTGCCACCCCTTAAAAAAGGGAGCGTTTTTGGAGTTTTAGTTGCAGAAAACATTAATTTAAAGAGCCACTGGCATCTTCAGATAGAGCATCAGTACTTGCGGAATGCTAATATGGACTCTATGGACTTACTTGCTTAAAAGCCTATTCACTGATGCCTATGAATTTTCTAAGAAGAAACTAAAATCATGAAAGGTTGCAGGTCATGACTATCATGACAGAAACCATAGAGCAGTAATGTTCAGCTTGGAGCTGAAGTTGATGACTATATATCACTGCAGTAGCTAACCACCCATGATCATACTCATCTTTGCCAGAGCCAAAATTAATAGGATTAGGTGGAGGTATGAATGTGGATGGTGAGGGTCTTCAATTTCCTTCAAGATTTTTCCTTGTAGACAAATTAGGCTTGATAGTAGTTAACAATATCCACAAATAGTACCTTGGGATGAATTCCCACAAGAATTAATTGGTGAAATAGTCTTTCTATAGATACTATTAAGTTGCTGCCAATAAAGTTATTTACATGATTATAATTAATGACGTTTTCACATACCACTATTCTATATATTAGAAAAAAATCTTACTTAGGATGAAAAGCTTATTATCTTTACTGTTTTTACTTTTGGTAATGAAGTTGTAATACAGATTGTGTACAAACTATTAAAATTATTTAGGTACATTATTGGGAAGCCATAAGAAAGTAATCTAAAATAATTTTCTGTAAAGAAAGTACACTTTTTATTTCAAATTTCATTCTATTAGATGAAAAGCGAAAGATATGATTAACCTTTTCCATCTCTGAAGTCTAAGAGTTTTCAAACCATGAAAGTAGTCAAACCAGAGTCTGGAGAGATGGCTCAGCATGGAAGAGCACTGGCTGCTCTTGCAGAGGACCCAGGTTGGAGTCCCAGCACCCACATGGTGGCTAACAACAATCTGTAACTCTAGTTCCAGGGTATCTGACACACTCTTCTGATTTCTGTGGGCACTACATAACATGGGTCCACTTACACACACAGGTAATACACACATACAATTTAAAATGAAAATATATAAAAAAATTTTTAAAAATATTTTATTATTTTTATTTTATGTGTATGCGTGTATTGCCTGCTTGTATGTGAGTGCCCCGTGTCATGCAATGCCGCGGAGGTCAGAAGAGGGCATCGGATTCTCCTGGAACTGGCATTAAGGATGGTTTGTAGCTATCATGTGGGTGCTGAGAATCGAACCTGGGTCCTCTGCAAGAGCAGTCAGTGCTCTTAACCACTGAGCCATCTCTCCAGCCCCTATAAAAATAGTTTTTTTTAAAAGCAGGCAAATCAATACTAAAAAAAATGTTTCATACCCTGTTTTCCCCACCTGGGGATCAAAAGAAGGGCCTTGCATGTATTGCTAGGTAACCTCAAGTAATATCGTGAACTTGCTTCCCTACTTTTTAATGTGTGTGAGCAATGGAATACATCATCTATGTCTTAAGGAATCTACAAGGAAGAACACGCACTACTTGTGATTAAAAGGGTACAAATGTGGAGGCAGGGGACTATTCAAAAAGAAAAGCAGTATATGCTGTGGTTAAGAAGGGCTTGGTAGGGGCTGGACAGATGGCTCAGAGGTCTGTGAGGACCTAAGTTTGGTTCCCAGCATTTACAATTTACAATCAGCCAACTCACAACAGCCTGTTACTCAAGCCCCAGGGAATCTGTTGCCCTCTTGTGGTCTCCAAGAGCACTGTACTCATATGCAAAAACTCATACATAAATGCATAATTAAAAAATAAAAATAAAAAAGGCCTTAGTAAGAAGAAAATGCAAATTTTAATGTCAGGAAGCTACATTTAAAAAGTATATTTGAGTTGGGCATTATGGTGCACACCTTCAATCCCAGCACTCAGGAGGCAGAGGCAGGCAGATCTCTGTGAGTTAAAGGCCAGCCTAGTTTACACAGTGAGTTCCAGGCCAGCTGGGGCTACAGGGAAACTCTATCTCTGTCTGGTAATGGTCTTCCTGAAGCAAAGGATTTGTATTCATATAAGAGTGAAGGAAAGACATTTCCTGTGTAAACTAAAGTTCATAGAAAAAAGTTCACACCTATATTAAAACAAGGCTGATTTACTGATTGGAACTTCACAATTGTGGAGAGTGGGGATGTTGCACATTCAGCTAATTAGCTATGCTTAGCCCCCTTAATCGCTATTTAATGTCCACTCTGTGTATGCCCCCACATTTTTATGACCAACCCATTTAACTCTAGGCATGTATTCTCAGCAGATCATGAGCTTCTACTAACACAAAGGCTAAGAATATCATCAGGCAAAATCTAAGTCCTATAGCAGAATTTTTTCTGCTTTGCTGTAAACCTACCTACCTGATGTTTCCACTGATGTATTTAGAATGCCCTGATTTATGATTTTCTTTGGTTCTGTGATTACAAATTTTCATGTAACCACTTCCACACTGGAACAAATTACTTGAGGCAACCTGAACCCATGCTCCCAGACCACTGTCACTCATATTTGGTTCAATAAGCTATTTCTTATTTGGGGGGGGGAGTGAAAACCATGATTTGCATGAACACCAGTTAGTAACAATTTCTGATGCTAGACTAATGCACTGAATTAAATGTGACAGAAAACAAAGGTTTTAGAAGATCCTGAAGTATAACAAGGACACAAAGGAAAAGGTATTTCAGAAAGTTAACAAAGCCAGGTACCAAACACAAAGTAGGGCTCAGTAGTATATTAAATAGCAGGACACAGGACACTAAACAACTCAATGATAATTATGAGTAGCAATCTTCCTGAACAGTTTAAGGGATAAGACTACCATCTTTCCTTGTATACATATATCCAAAAGACTTCTTTCTTTCCGGGCAGGGAAACCAATTTTGTCTGTGATCAGTTCACTTCTGGTTTTTTCTTGCTAGTCCATTTCAATGTGCCTAAGGGCAATGTCAATCACCCATATTTATCTCCTCCGAATTACAAGGGTGACCACTCTGGCCTGAGCTCCCACTATTTGTGCATCAGTCTGAAGCCATGTTCCCATTTGGCAAAGTAAATCACAGTTTTTTGCTATGACTTGATATGAACTTCATCCTCTGCCTTCTGCTTCTGTTGGTGCTACTGCTCCCAAGGTGCCTGTGTTTTCTCATCAAGCTTTCTTTCCTTAAGTCTATTAACTGCCCCAGCATGCCGAAAACATGCTTGACCACTGTGGCTGGAAATATGACCCACTTTTTATGAGCATATGTTGACAACTTCACTCTTGTACCTTTGATAACAACCAATTAACAAGGTGTTAAGTACCCCTCAGATTTCTCATCTCCACCCACAGCTATTACCTTTGTTCAAGAACTCAATACTTCTTCCCTACAGCTTTACTGTGATATCCTGAATTTTGCCTCTAATTCATTCTGCACTAAAATTCAATGAAACAAGTAAACTGTAGAGAAGTCTGCATTCCTTAACCACCAGAGAAGAAATCTTACCAGATGTATTAGTTACTTTTCTGTTGCTGTGATTTTTTTAAAAAGGGCATCTTGTAGAAGGAAAAGTTTACTGGGCTTATGGTTCTAGGAGATAAGAGTCCAACATGGCATGGGAGGCACAGCAGGAGGAGCAGAGCTGAGCTCTCAAATCTTCAAGTATGTGCAGAGAGTGTGGAACTGGAAAGGGGACAAAGTCCACCTCCCAGCGACATGCTTCCTCCAGCAAGGCCACAATCTCCTAAACATCTGCAAACAGTGCCACCAATAAGGAGAAATATTCAAGTTCTTGATGCATTTGGGGACATTCCTCATTAAAACCACCACATCAAGTTTTTAAAGCCTTTCATGAAAATTTTACCTTGAGATCCCCACTCTGTTGCCTCAGCATAAGTACCCATTATTTTTGATACTAGCATTAGTCGATGCCATCAGTATAGTTAGAATCACCTTAAAGATGGTGTGCTAAGGCCTTTGGAAATGGTTTATGCTCTACAGAAAACATTATAACCTAAAAGAGAAAAACATGATTTATGTATAAAGAGATAAACAGCAGCTGGAAAGATGTCTCAGTGGGTAAAAGCACTGGCTGCTCTTGCAGAGAACATGGGTTCGATTCCCAGCACCCACACGGTGGCTGACAACTGTCTGTAACTCCAGTTCCGGGGATCTGACACCATCTTCTGACCTCTGTGGGTACTGCATGACACAGGTGCAAATACATGAAGGGAATATACTCATACACATAAAATAAAAATAACAATAATTTTTTTTAAGAGAGATAACCAGAGCCTGGCATTTCAAAGCTTCCTGGTACTGCCTGGTTTCCTCCATTGCCTCAGTCCAATTTAGTACAAGTCACACAGTCTAATAAAGCACACTGCTATTGCTCAAATGACACAGGCTGATAAAAGTGAAGAACAATCTCCCTACACTGTCTCAGTAAACTGATATTACAGAACAGCCTGGTAGCCATCTAAGAGGATCAGGCTTCTCAGATTGAAGAATGGGATGGACAGCACCACAGGTAATCAATCTCTTTATTGTTGTTGCTGAAAGTTCATACATTGGAGGGCTGGAGGGCTGGCTCCACAGTTAAGAGCACTTGCAGAGGACCTGGGTTGATTCTCAACACTCACATGACAACTAAAAACAGTCTCTAACTCCAGTTCCAGGTGATCCAACACCCTCTTCTGACCTCCAAGGGCTTTGTATAGCACAGGTACACTTACATACATGCAGGCAATACACTCAAACACATAAAGAATACATTTTTTTAA